AATCAAACAGCATCATACACATGAGACCAGATAGTCGTGACCTCGAACCAGTAGCAGAATTGCATCACGAGTTTCACCAAATAAGAGCACACCAAAAGCTCATAATTGACAATGCTGGAATAGTCTCATCATCATCAACCCAGAACCAATGTTGATATCCTATCTGGTGCTCGGCGCCCAGACTATGAATGGCAGATCCTATCTAGCCTAGACTACAATGCCGCTGATGACGTCGACAGCTTCCCAAGTACGAGCAGATCTCGGCGAATGCCGCACGCGTCAAGCACCAGGTATGTCTCTCGTATCACTCACAACCTCGTTCCCCAACTCACAGATGCCACTTGCACCCAAGGACCTCCATGCGCCCCATCCAGCATACAGCAGCGCAGCTCTGCTATGGCTGCCTGCTCCTTCCAGCTCGCCCGTGAGCGCGTGAGCCTGGCAAGCGATAGCACAGCAGCGCTTGCGCACAAAGCAGCCAGTGCCCGAATGTTCAAAGCGTGGGCAGGTCCTTCCCTATATCGAAGTGGCCTGCTGCTGCGTGCTGTGCTGCGGTACTGGGCCTCGGCCCAGAAGCTTCCGGTAGGCCAGGGAGGCTGAGCCTTGGTCCAAACGAATCAGGCCCAGGGCCTCCGACAGTTACCCATGCCCAACTGCCAGCAACCTGAGTTGCGTCCATGCTGCGTATCTCACCCAGGGCCTGACTTAGATGCATTTGATAAAGAAGGCCAGGGCATGGGCGCCTTCAACCAACTGGCACTGCGCAACTAGCGGGTTGACCCCAAAATAGGCCTGTAGGCCTCGGTCGAGCCTGCCTTCACTTAGGGTGGCCGACTGTGCTGGAAAGGGGGCCCAGTAGGGCGTATCGAGGCCTTGTGCCTCGCACTGCTTACCAAATTTGGAAAAATAAAGAACGAAACATTGTACTATGATTGTAGTAACAACTTTTGCCTCAGGAAAATTAGTTTTTGATTTTTTTCAAATCGAAAACAATGTCAAATTGAAAAAAAAAAAGCATTGAATCGTAGAGCCCAAAAAGATCTACAACAACATATTTTCTGTTTTTTTTTTCCCAAATGTTTTGAACCCCCAAAAAATCCCCGAAAGTTGCGGCCGGAGCTTGGCGGGACGTGGCCCAACTTCCTGTCACGGCCACGGCCGCCGGCCACAAAGAGGACCCCAGTCATGACCAGGCGCGATTCATAGGAGAACACGAGAAAGGATTCCATGACTTTCTCGCTAGTGTTCGCAACGAGACAAGAAGAGTGATTAGGAAGGAGATGATCTTAAAAATAGGGGCCGGGTTTTTGCAAGGAAATAGTCTCTGCATTTTTTGTTCCAACGGAACCAGTCCTCGACCTGCGTATCTAGGTGAGGAATAGGACAGATCAATGATTTTATAGGAAACAAAACCCTTTATAAAATAAAAAAAAAGAGATTTTTTTTTTTTAAAAGGAAAAAGTTTAGGCACCGGCACTGCACGCTCAGATAAAGACAGACGGACCAGGAGTTGTTTACTTTTTTTTTTTTGAAAAAGAAAAGAAAAAAGGAGGGGGTAACTTACCCAGATCACAGAGAAAGCCAGCCTCTCCACATTGCCTCGCAGTGAACAAATATCTGAAGTTGGTTATCAGTGATGCACACACACACACACACACATACACACACACGCGCACACACACACACACACACACACACACACACACACACACACACACACGGCCCGAAAAGTATTCCAAGTGAGGAGATTCTTCAWCMAACAASGRCCSAGTYAGGTSARGMAGCYCTGGTYRTTTTATCWRGSCCACGAACRAATACATACCMAAAAAAAAAAAAAAAAAAAAAAAAAAAAWMAAMRCTGAAGAGAAGTTCGAAAGGAAAGTCCAGGAATCCGGTCCACAAATGAACCTCTGAGCGATCAGAGAGCCAACATTCCAATTACTTGTTAAGACTGAATCTTTCCTGAAGTGGAAACCCAGTTTACAAAGGAGTTGGGAAAAAGACACAATCTTTTTCGGCAATGGGTACGGCCATAGAATTATGGAACGCTGCTGGGAGAACTAAAATCTGCGACTACCGTTTTCACATGAATAGAACGCCTAGTCATTATAGCTGTATTGTGGGCAATTTTCAGTCCAGACTCCAGATCATAATTGCGGCGCACCAGTGCGCAGTGCGGTGTGGGGCGGTGCGCACTATGCGCTGTGCTGTGCTCAGTGCGCACGCTGAGGGAGGTGCTCCCCGTGCGCTATAATAATAAAAAAGAAAAAAAGAAAAAGGACAGGGCCAGAGAGAGAGAGAGAGAGAGAGAGAGAGAGAGAGAGAGAGAGAGAGAGAGAACAAAGGGTCCCCTTCACGTCAATTCGAAGGCCCCTGCAGGTACCTCGAATGGCTCAAATCAATGGATACTCTCATATATTTATTTCATAACAATACATGTGGAGCCATTGAGGGCCACTGCTTCAATGAGAAAGATGGCCTCGTCATGTGTGGAAGAGAAGGGGGCAGACCACCGATATATACTGTGGATTCGAGTTCAGGGCTGTAGCTCGGCAGTTATGGGTCACCAATTGTTCATGTCTCCAAGTGATTCTCAGGGCCTCCCTCCACCACTCACCAAAATGTATATTATTATAATATTAGTAGAATGAATCTCCTGCTAAAACATGGAACCATACACCGCCATATGCTATGTCTTTTGTGCATCTGGTGACTAGTGGAGCAGGCCCCACTGGACGTATTCGTAAGAAAACAAAAAAAAACACGAGCGAGCCACGGGCATCTTAATCCTCACCCATAACTGCCGACATGCAGACCTGAACGCCAATCTTCAACATATATTGGAGGTCGGCTCACAATGGAAAACGTAACTTGTGACATCGGCGAAGCTTCGCGGGGCAGGTCGTTATTAGGCTACTACCTCTTCTTGCGAACTTACCCCACCACTGTGTGGGATTTGCAGAAGGGAGCGGAAAGGACAGCTTCCATACCCCGCCTAAAAAAGTTGGAATGAGCCCTATTTTATGCTTCACCATTCTCAAACTTTTGGGGGAAGTGCCTGCGGAAATCGGAATTCAACAGCCCTTACCCAAAAGAAAAAATTGGGCCAAGTTGGGGGCCCTAAGAAATTACAAAAACCCTACTTTTTTTTTTTCTGGACCTAGTTTTTCCAGTGCGCTGCGCTTCCGTGCGCTGTGCGGTGCACAATTCGTGCGCAAATCCGCACACCGAGGTGCGCTGCAACAATGGTCCAGATGCAGCAATAATGACCGGGCAGACAGGGTAACTTTCAGTCCAGATGCAGCTATAATGACCGCGCAGACGGTAGGCTTGGTTTGCAGCTATTTCTTGCTTCTGTCTTATACATACGTGTCCTTCCACACCACCCGCCCTACACTCCCCCAACCCAAGCCTTCCCAATTTTCACCATTAACCAAAAAAAAAAAAAAAAAAAAAAAAAAAACCGTCTTCTCCCAAGTAGAATGCCCTGTCATTATCGCCATATCTTAGACGGAAAGTCACCCCAAATTCAGCTATAATGGCCGGGCGTTGTATTCGGGTAAGGACGGAAGCTCAGAAATCAAACACTGCTTGCAACAGAGTCAGGATGAGGACTAGGTTCATTGTCATACCAACCTTCGGTGAGTGGTTTCGGAAGCATGTCAATCCTCCGCTCGACAAGATAGACAGAAGTACCACGCTTTGTGGCCTCCTCATCTAAAGCCGTCCCGGGAAGCACATAGTTTGTTACATCCGCAATGTCTGAACTTACTCATTAAGGTAAAATGTGATATACAAGATTTAGAATCCAGCGGCCTTAAGAAAGAAAAACAAAAACAAAGGCACTATTTCCTGTGACTAGTTGGCAAAAATGTGAAAATCTATATACGTCTGGATTCCGTCTCTTTTCCTCCAGAAGAATGGATTGCAGAAAATCCGTTCCTTACTTCGAACTTCCAATGTAATTTCCCCACTAGTAGTTTCGCAATAAGCAGTCACACAGTTGACATGTATGCATGTATCTAGCAATTTCGCCGGCCTGGTTGCAATCTTTGACTTTTGTCCTCCTCCCTCCCTTCCCCCCCACTTCTCTCTCTCTCTCTCTCTCTCTCTCTCTCTCTCTCTCTCTCTCTCTCTCTCTCTCTCTCTCTCTCTCTCTCTCTCTCTCTCNCTCTCTCTCTCTCTCTCTCTCTCTCTCTCTCTCTCTCTCTCTCTCTCTCTCTCTCTCTCTCTCTCTCTCTCAACCAACCAACTCTATTTTTTACCATACAGAATCGCAGATTGCATTGTTTAAACACTCAGCTGAGTCAGCTCCGAATTTGCTTCAGGCACACTGTGAGGTGTCGTTCGTCACATTTTCTCTGAAAGGAGGATACGCACACCAACTTCATAATTCCCATCAGGACGCGCAGTACAGTGAAGGGCATCGTCAATATCCCTGCAACCTGAAAAATAACAAGACCATCAATCCAGCAACAACAGATGCAATACGCTTAGGCTCTGCTAAGTCTGCTTTCTTCGTTTTTCTATTTCCAGCAATACAAAAAGTCGAAAACAGTTGAAAAAGGTTAAAAAAAGCTATGTTGGGCCGTTGCCCGGCCCGGCACGCCCGGGCCAGTTGGGCAGAGGGGGGATCGCCCGGCAAAACCAGACAGGTCAGAAAAGAGGCAAGGATCCCAAAAAAAAAAAAAAAAAAGGACTTCAGGCCAGGACTGCGCTTGGCCTAAGCAGTCAGAATCCGGTCTTAACTTTGTTTTTTCGGTGATGGGTCATCCAGGGGCGGTTGGGGGGTATAAACAGTGACTAAAGGGGTTAAAACGTAAAAGGGCAGGGTACATTTGGACTCGTGTGTTCTCATTTATTTTTATCTTAAAATTTACAAGGAATTTGTCGGTGGCCCTCTGCCAAAAGTCGTTTGTATTGCCATTTTACACAACATTTTTTTTTTCGGATTTTTTTTTTTTTCCCTATTTGTTTAAATATTATGTTCTGGGATAGTACGGGAGGGTACCCGGGTGACCTTCCCCCAGCCGGGCCGCCCGGGGACTAACACAGAAAAAAAAAAAACAGAATAAATATTAAATAATAAATAGTAAATACCCTTCTGGGCTCTGTGTTCCTCATTTCGCTCTTCCCAAAACCTATGCTTCATTTCACTCACTGCAACCCCACACTCTGGCCATCTACGCACCACTCACCAGACACAAATATTCTGAATGAATCTGAGCATAGCATTGCTCCCAATACACGCAGAATGTTGGCATTTGGCGAGTGGTGCAGCAAAGCCCTATGTATTCAATGTGATAACTGTAAAAGCATCCTATTGTGAAGTTCCTTGAACAAAATCGACAAATTTGTGAAGAGCGTGCCTATCTTTCACAAATGAATAGCACGCAGAAAGAATCGGTACTCCAGACACATATCACTTTCTTTTTATTCGGTTGCACCTGCATTCGAACTGTGGTCTGCATTTCAACAGTTCAAGTATTAATCAACTGGGTTAGGCTTGTTGGTAGGCACATATCACTTTTGTTACATCCTTCAACGAGTATGGGCAGAACCAAAGATCAACCAATATAGGATGAGCATATATGCAGCGGAAGTCTGATAAACGGACTGACTCGCATAGACTGACTCACATAGACTGACTCAAGAATCACTCCACACACATACAATCGTGAGATGGTGGGGTCTGGACCAAGCATGGACGATGCCCAGATCCCGTACACACATACACAGATGAAAGGTGGGAGGAGAGACGAAGGAGGTGGGGGAGGTAGACAGCACCGGTAGGTCACCGAGATAGAATCCGATAGGTCACCGATATGGTAGTCCAACAAGATCAAAATGTCGAGGACAATCAGTCACCAATGTCGGAGGTACAGAGTCCAAATGTAACCGGTGTCCAAACTGTGATGCCGCCAAGTATCAACCCCAACAATCTCCAAGTCTCCAATCCGGTTAGTACCACAGTCTCATACCACCGAAGTCCAACACTGATCTCTGTCCACTAGTATAAGTCTCCAATCTGAAGAAGAAGACGAAGAAGAAGAAGAAGAAGAAGAAGAAGAAGAAGAAGAAGAAGAAGAAGATGGAGTCTGAAGAGAAGAAAGAGAAGAAGAAGAAGAAGAAGAGAGAGTCGAGGAGGAGAGAGAGAGAGAGAGGGGACTGACGATGGGAGGGAGGAGAGAACCTCCGGCTCCCTGATACCTCAGGCGGCGATGGCCGCCGATCTGGCTCAGTCGCCCGGCTGCTGACTGCTCCGCTCGCCGCTGCTGCGCTAATGCTGCGCTACTGCTGCCTGCTCCTCGCTCCTGCGCTCAGCATAGCGCCGGAGGGAGGAGAGAACCTCCGGCTCCCTGATACCTCAGGCGGCGATGGCCGCCGATCTGGCTCAGTCGCCCGGCTGCTGACTGCTCCGCTCGCCGCTGCTGCGCTAATGCTGCGCTACTGCTGCCTGCTCCTCGCTCCTGCGCTCAGCATAGCGCCAGCGCATTAATGTGCGCTGTACCATACCGTACCGGGTGGAATGCCGGTAGGTCGATAGCCTCACTGAGGCTGGACCGGTACTTTTGTACCGGTGGGCAGAGGTCGGCCTCTATGCTGCGAGGCCTGACCGTGCCCTGAACCGTCCAGATGGACGGTTCAGCCCCAACCGGTGGGCGGCAGCCTCAAGAGCGCCGCCAGGCCCAAACGGTAATATCGTTTGGGCCGGCCCGTCGGGTCTGGTCCAAGGTAAGGCCTTTTCGGCCTGTAGTACCCCCAAGGTCGGGCCTTTGGCCCTACTGTGTCCCTCTACCCCTATGTCGGGTCCGGTAGGACCCGTGTGGCGTCGAAGATGTAACAACTTTGCTGTCTACTTGGTGGACCTACTTTTAGGCTCCCAAGTCTGTGAGAGAGAGAGAGACAGGGGTGGGGGAAGGCGGAACGGGGAAAGAGAGTGCCCTCCAAGGAAGAAGGGCAAAGAACGAGCGCAGAGGAAGAAAGAAAAATCAGATTGCGTGAATTCGTTCTATTTGGCATTTTACTATTCAGTGTGCTAAGTTCAAAACAAATCTTACTTTATTTAGTCTTGTGGGTTTTGTTTTATTTAGTCAAAAAACTTTTGGCGAAACTTCCAAGGCTACTTTTGAAGCAAGAAGCAAATCTGTCGTTTCGGAATTACAACAACTCATGAGTTCTCAAGAGGCTCTGCTGTCAGAGTTCTTGAAACAACATGAATTACGTAGTATTAGTTTGCGTTCAAGTACACAAATGATTGGAGAATCATGTATAAATGATATGATTACACGCTGCGCACCAAATTGCAAACAAACCGTGCAAGCAGTCTTATGTCAACAAATGGAACAAAAGTTCAAACCACTGTTGACTTTTCAAGTCAATTCTCCCATTCATTTACAGGCCTCGCTAGAGGCTTGTTTCAAAAGAGCTGGAAGAAACCAACAGAGTAGAGCGAGAAAGAGAGAGAAAGTGAGAGAGAGAGAGAGGGAGGGGAGGAGAGAGAAGGGGCGAGAGAGAGAGAGATCTTGGGAGGAAGGGACAGAGAGAGACAGAGAGGGAGAAAGAGAAACACAGAGAGAGAGAGAGAGTGAAAAGCAACAATGGAAAAGGAAAAGAGAGGTGAAAAGAGGTAGCAATGTGGCTTCCATAGAATTTGATAGAAAATAGATAATCAAAGTGTGAGGGAGCAAGGGATGGGGAGTACCAACAGCAGCAGTTTCTCAGATACAGAGTTTGTGGGAGATCAATCTTGATTGAAAAGAGGAAATCGAAAACACGTCAGAAAAAGTATGTCTCCCCCTCCCCTCCCTCCTCCCCCTCCCCCCTCCCCCCTTTTCTTTGCATACCTGGTGGATCCACACTGTAGATCCTTACATGGCGCAAATCAAGACGATTAGGGTTGTGAAACTCTTCCTCTGGCATGGACCAAGGCAGGGGTGGAAGGCAAGCCAGCACTTGCTCGGAGAATGGACGCGAGTCGATGTCATTCTCTATCAAGAGCATCTGCAGTCACTCGATGCCAAAAACCGCCGAGGCGTCAGAACGTCATATACATCCCTCCACAGCTCAACTGCTACTACCTGATATGTCATTCGTTCCCGGACATCACGTGCTATTTTTTGTTTTCGCAAAATCCTTTTCAGGGAAATTCGAAATTTCTTAATATATGATGGGCCTTATCTGTCACAAACCAGTGCAAAAGTGACTTTTTTTTTCTTTCCCCCGTGCACTCCCTCCACTTGCAACTTAACACCGGCGACACGGATGCTTGACATGCGCTGAGTTGGACCAGGTTCATGGCACCGCATCCAGGCATGTGGACATAATAATGCTCATCCACATCATCAACAAAAGCTTGATGCCGGTAAGACAGTGCATGAAGCCGGGGGGAGGAGGGGGGGCGGAAGACGGAGCAAGGAAAGAGGCACATGAGCTATATAAAAAAAAAAGGTCAGGAAGAAAGCTCAAGAGACGGGATGAGAGAGAAAGCGAGGAAGGGAGGGAGGGAGGGAGGGAGGGAGTGAGCAAAGCAGACGCACAAAGACGAGAGAAGGAAAGCATGGGGGAGAAACCGAGGGAGATAGCCATGAAAGGACAGAGAGAGAGAGAAGGGGGGGGGGGGAGAGGAGGACGACCGAGAAGGCACAAAATGAGAGCAGATACGAAACATAACCCCCTTCACTGCGTGCAGGAAGCAGCAGCGCATCCCATACAGCGTGTCATCCAACCCCCTGTGGTCGATACCATCCAGTTGTGACGTACGCTGGATACTCTCTCTGAGACTCCAGGCCTTCAAATACAAAAAAAGAGGGGGGTACCGTAGCACCTGATCCCTACATATCCGTCAGGATTCGAACTCGTGGTCTTATAATGGGGAGTCAAATGCATAGATACCACTCAGACACCACATACACCCGAGGGAAGGAACACCAAAACGTTGAATGAGCTGGACGCACTCTTCCCTCCATGGTTATTTTTGGCTTTACCCCTGTCTCTCTTTGACAGTCACAATTTTTGACCTTTCCCTGCCCTTCATGACGATGTTGCTTCAGCCGGATTCCCACTAACACATTTATTTGGGTGACGAATGCCAATCAAGTAGAATAAACAAATTACCAGGGTTGCATACCCACCGACCGCCGACCGTTTCGCAGCCTACAGGTAGGGTCGACCGGTCGGCGCAGTCAGAAAACAGCCATCCACTGATGTTTTTTTTGAAGCTGACTATGGGGCTGTACTGCGCTTGCTGAGTACAGCCCAAATCAGCTGAGAAACTTTTCGGGATTGGGGGCAGGGGGGAGGTACAG